ATTTACTTTTGTTTTACAACTTTTCTTAATGTGTAAAATGGGGTAAGAAAAAGAATTGAAAAAAATATTTAGTGTAGTAAGGTTTAGGCAATATGAATCCAAATATCAACATCAAATAATACTTTTACTCATGTGGTATTCAGCCCATTGTGTGAGATCTTTAAGTCAAAAGATCCAATGTCTAGAAAAAGGAGGAAGACAAGAGTCGAACTCTTGTAATAGGCTATAACAATCACGTGTTTTACCACTGGTCTTTTCTCTGATCGAATATTTTCTAAAAATGGTCAAATTTTGTATTTATTTACTTTTGTTTTACAAGTTTTCTTAACGGGTAAAATGGGGTAAGAAAAAGAATTGAAAACAGTTTGGAGTGCATAAATGAATAAATTTGTGGGTTCACATGGAATCTATAAGAAAGAACATTGGGCTAAACCTCTTTATCATGAGGCCAGTCTCATGGGCCGAAGCCCATTATGTTTTCGAAAAAGGCCCAAAGAGGCCCAAATTTAAATTAGAACCTTCTTTCTTTCATCATCGCCAAGTTAAAAACCAATTAGGATTAGACTTCCAGTTGAAGACTTCGATCACTTGAAGTTAAACAAACACACACTCCGATCAAAAGTCCCAATCGCTCTCCTCAACGCCACGAAACGCCCACTGTAATTTCTCGCAGAAAGCTAGGGTTTCGTAATCACTCTGAACTCCAATTCACTTTCATCGCCAAACGCACCATGAACTGTGAAGTTTGCCAGCTCAAAGAATTGGTACGCTTCTCTCTGTCTTTCATTCTCTCTCTCTTAGTATATTTGTGAAATTTGAGAAATTAATTTATATTTGAAAATTGAAATTTTGCTGGTGCTTCAGGAAGTTGAGCACTTTGAGATACGGGAAGTTCTGCGCTGTAAGTTTCCAATTGAACTTGTCCTTTTCTTTTCTTTCTCAGTTTCTTTTTTTATACATTTGATTTCAAATTGCTCAATTTACGTGCTTTTCTGCTTTATCTGTATATTTGTATATGTGTGTATGTACGCTTATGCCTATGTATAATTAGTATGATTATGCAAATCAGTTTTGCCAATGGAAAACTCTGCAGATTAGAAATTGTACTGTGTAGAACTTGTTTGAGCAATTCAACTAAGATACGTGTTTAGGTATATCTGTTTCGTGGGACGAGGAAGCGTCTTTATGCAGAATAAGCTTTGTTTAAGACGGAAGTGTTGGAGTTCCTTCAATTTGTTTTCGATTTGCAGTGGCCGTTAGCCAAATGTCAGCATTTTATGATGCAATGCAACGGTGATTTTGAACAATGAATTCTATACTGCAAGAATCTGTGTTTATAATGGCACTAAAGGACACTGAATTTTGTTTTTTTTTACATACTTTACTAACTTCCGCCCCAAACTATAATCAAACGTCGGGATTGAGAAGTGAAAAAAATACTTCAAAGAATTGGGCTTGCAAATGTGAAAAAATTTCGTTGGTCATTTCCTGATACGTAGTATGATCAACAGAACAAATGGCATTTTTTTGGGTCTGGTCTCCGAACTCTTGTGCTGGTTTGTAAACAAATGTCTTATTTATCTCCGGTTTGCCTTTAATTATGTAGAATACATAATCCTGCACTCACTGCACTGTGATTTTATTTGTTTTCATGTGAGCTTACAGCAGTTTAAATTTGAGTGCAGGCATACTTCACACGATAGTGTTTCATCGGGCTTTAGGTCTTGTTCGGCCCAAAGACATTGATTTGGAACTTTTTGAAATTACATATGTAAGTTTTTTTATGCTCCAAATATTGGTTCTTTGGTGCGTCATGCATGTCAGTTAACAAAGTTCAAGTCTGAATGTTTTTTTTTTCCATTCAGTATAACATTTCCGCAGGTGCATGTTAGTTAACATAAGTCAACTTTGAATGAATTTTCCAACTGCAAATTCTGTTGCAATCTTAATGACACCTCAACAGGAAATGAAGTTCCTTCCTCATGTTTTTTTTGTTTGCCTAGTAATTTTGGCATCAGATTTCTTTCCTTGTGTGTTACTTTTCTGAGATGAATCTTCATGATTGTAATGGTTCCACATTCTAAATAATCCTCAATGTGGGATTGAGCTAAAGGCTACAATCTGATCTTTAGCCTTTGATATGTATGATTATTATATATAAACCTTCATTTTTTTTTTGGTATAGGTTCAATGTGGTGATATGGAACTAGAGAAGAAAATAGATGAGAATATTGAGCAATTCATTAGTTGGGTAGAGAAACACCCGAACAAGAAAAGTCAGGTTTGTGATTCTCATTTGCTTTAACTAATTATACTATTGCAGGTAGAATTTATTTATGCTAGGAGACAGAATTCTTCAACCATGATTTTTGCATCACTTCTTTGATTTCTCATCCAAAACTTGTATCCAGTTATATCCTCCCATTGTTCCATTAAAGCTTTTCATCAGTATCAAGGTATTTTTCTGAAAGAACTCCTAATAAACTGCCATCGTTTGTGATGCAGATCTGCTTGTCTTTCTTTGAAGAAAGAAACAAACAGGCAACTTGGTTCACTCATAAAAAAGAAAGGCTACACTGGGAACAGTGGTATATTAATTTGAATGTGGCCCAACACCCCAAAGCACATTCTGGCAAATCTCATAATTCTAAAGTTGTAGTTGATCCAGGAGGTACAGTTACTATTGTGAACTGAATTTATAGTTTCTAATGCTTCACTTTCAGGAAGCCATGCTGACCCTCACCTTTACATTTGTTTGATGTACGAGTGCAGAGAGTGCATTGGAAGAGAGAATCGCTCGCAGAGCCGTGCTTGAAGCATCTCTTAATGAGGTTTTGTTCCAAATAATAAAATTTGTGAATGAGAAGAAAGATCATGTTCCCCCTATACCGAATCATGAGGGTGTAGTCTGTTTTCCCCATGAAATTATTATCCCAAGGTTGGTTCTCCTTTTATTCATATATCTTTTCAAACATGGCACACATAGCTTACATCTTCTCTTTGAGTGAGGAAAAACAATCACAGTTTGACACTAAGAATATTTTTTCACCTTAATTAATGTAATTGTCTTTGCAGACATTTGTTAAGGCAGAATGGGGTTGGTAGTTCTCTGATGCTATCAATTGAAATGCAGTAATTTTACTATGAAATGCCTCACTGCCAAAAAAGATACTCTGTTTGTGAAAATAGAATTTTAAGTTACTTTATTGTATGTACTGAGTACTGACAATTGATTAATACAAAATTTGGCAAAGTATTTTGTTTAGAAGGTTAATACAAAATTGTGGACTGGTTACTTAGTAATGAGTAATAGATTAGTCACCAAACTGTAAGTTCTGAATCCTCAAGCCTGATGTAGGTCTACTTTGTTACGACTTACGTATCATAATGTGACTTGGTCATAGCAGTTTACACCTGCTCCATCTACCAAAAGCAGCACGCTGTTGTAACATTAGGTTAGAGTGCTAGTGTCTAGTTAACAGATAGACGAGTCCCTTGTTCTTTGCAAACTGACAGTGACGAATATGACGAACATCTTGCTCTTGTTTTCTTAACAAGTAGTAGTACTAGTAGTAGTTGTTGTTGTCAATGTTATGACTGTTTAGAAAATTTCTCTGAATCTCATATGAATAGACTGCCGAGTTAATATTGCAATGCCTTGTTCAGTTCCTCGGATTCTGCATTTGGAATGGACATGATCAAAAGGATGCTGCAGACTGGCCATCCAACCATGCTTAGCTGATTGGTTTTGTGAGCTACGTACGCACCGCTTTGCTTATCTGCTTCTGAAAGTAAGTCGATTCTCATGTTCCCGGTGACTTGAAACGCACATGAATGTGTCGAGTCGGTAACCTTTTTCAAGCAAGGTTTGTTTGTATGTAAAGAAGTGAATTCAAAGTGGGTAGATTCCCCTTTCTTTATGTAAATATTCTTCCCATCCAATTCTGTTTCCGTTTATCTTTATCCTTTCCGGCACGTCCATTGCGACTTGTACATACTGACTGAATTGCCACACGTTTTAATCAGGACAATGAATGATCATGACACATGTTTTATGGTTGGGTTTGCTCCTTCACTGATGGTGCACAAGTTGTCCTCAACCATAATATTGGCACGTGATCTTTTTTTTGTGGTTAAATCTGTGAGAGTGGCTTAAAAAAAAACTATATATATATATATATAAAAATAAATAAATAAAAAAAGAAGAAGAAACAGAAAAAGATCTCCCTATACACAAGAGCCAATGCATATAATTTGTAATTCGGAAAAACCAAAGAAAGATCCAAGCAGGCCAATCAGGATATCGAAGCAGCAGACTCATAATAAAAACTGCCAATATGAATCAGAGTTGGAGTTAAAAGCTTGATAGTGAGGTAATTAAAAAGCAAAGAAGGAGCTGGGTGGAGTTAAATCACAATGAAAAGCTTGATAGGGAGGTAATTGAAAAGCAAAGGAAGGGGTTTGATGAAATAAAGATGTATGGTAGTGGGAACGTTAAAGAAGAAAGTTGGAGAGGAAGAGGAAAAGGAGAAAACGGATAAGGCCATTGGGATTCATTATCTCGAATTAATAAGCAAATGCGGCACCACTTTTTTCTTCTACGGCAGAATTTCAATTTCGTGTTGTTGCGCTGTGATTTCGACAAGTCAGAGAAAAACAAAAGGACACGTCTCCGTTAATAATTGAATTTCACCTGTCACACTGTGAACTCTAAGTAAAGAAAAAGTTGATAATGCAATTAGAGGAAGCCAACCCATACTTCATGTCTCTGTCTCATTTTTCCTCTTGCTGCAGCTGCAACAAGTACAAAACATTCCAGCTAAGGCGTGGCCTCGACCAACTTCTGCAGGCCCGAAGGTAAGATGAGCTCGAGCTGTTGCCTGAGGACTATAACGTTAGCGACGAATTTCGAAAAAAAAAAGAAAATTACCAAATAATTTAGAATAATTTTTATTTATTTACACATACCTAGTAAATTTTTAATATTATTAATCTCATTTGAATAGTAATTGACCTTAGATCGCCGGGTGGAAAGCATCAAAATATTGCAAGGGCAGATACTATTTACGTGAACAGTAACTGCCCTTGTCTTCCCTTCCCTTTTGCCATAGCAAATGGGTGGAAATGCTATTATATATCTATCGATCAAGAAAGACAGACACAGAGAGAGAGAGAGAGAGAGGTAAATGGAGAATCCGAAACACTTTGTTTTGGTTCATGGAATTTGCCATGGAGCATGGTCCTGGTACAAGCTTGTCACTCTCCTCCGGCATGCCGGTCACCGTGTCACTGCCTTGGACCTTGGTGCTTCTGGGATCAACTCCAAGCAGCTACATGAGATCACTTCCGTTTGGAACTATGTCCAGCCATTGATGGAGTTCATGGCTTCTATTTCCCACGAGGAGAGGGTCATATTGGTTGGCCATAGTTATGGCGGCGCTTCCGCACAACATCTGGCCATGGAGAGATTCCCTCAGAAGGTTTTGGCTGCGGTTTTTGTCACAGCCTATATGCCTCATTACAATTCTCCCCCTGGAGTTCTCATACAAGAAGTAAAAAACAAAAAAACTTCTTACATTCTTACAACTTCTTATTTTATCTATTGTGTATCTGCTTCAGATGCTCATTTCAATCTCTTTGTTTTTTTTTCATGTGATGGAAAACAAAGTACTTCAAAGGGACCCCAGTTGAATCATTATTGGATTGTGAGCTTAAGTTCGGCCAAAACCAGGAAAATCCACTAACCTCAGTTGTCTTTGGTCCACAATACATGGCAGAAAAATTGTTCCAGAAGTGCAAACCAGAGGCTAGTTTCTTATGCTGATTAATTTATAATGATGAAATGACTATATAATTAGCAACAAAGTTGTATTTTAGTATTGAATTTACGTGTCTTTGCATGCAGGATCTGGAATTAGCTAAAATGTTGGTAAGGCCATCCGGGTTGTTCTTGGAAGACTTCATGACCAAAGAGTGCCAGCTAACAGAACCGAAGTTCGGGTCAGTAACTAGGGTTTTCGTAGTGTGCGAAGGAGATGAAGTTGTCAAAGAAGAATTTCAACGGTGGATGATTGAGAATGGTCCGACTGCACAAGTGATACTGATTAGAGAAGCTGGTCATATGGTCATGCTCTCAAAGCCCGAACAACTTTGTGGATGCTTATGTGAAGTGGCTGAGAAAATATCGTAATGCTTGTTTTAAACCTTTTAATAAATCCAAAATCTGTTGGCTTTGTGGCCAGAGACTAGTTTGCAACTTTGTTTTTTGGCGAGTAGTGCCAAGCTATACTATACCTATAATCATGTGGGTGCCGCCCCCCAGCTGGCAAGTATGTTAAAATTTTCCATTTAAGGGTTATGGAAGTCGGTAAGAAAAGTTAAAATGGGAATTGCATCTGCTTTAGTTGTTTTGATACAAGTGATACTAGCGGAGGTGGGATTTGAAAACATGATCTCGGGTGCAAAGGGTAATTGCTTTTAACTTAGCTACAAATTCATAGTTGATAGGGCACAAGTTGTTGGGTGGCCTCTCCAATAGCATGATAATGCTTTAGCCACCACCCGGAAGAAGAATGATGAAGTGATGGAAAACCTTATCGTGAAAAGAACTGTGTGGTGGACAAAATATATTAGCTATGTTGTATTGGAGTTGAAGTTTGTATTGTCTATCTGTTTCCCATCTTATTTAAGAAGAGGATGTTTAGTTTTGGGCTTTTTTGACTATGGGCTCTAGCCCGGCCCATTCACCCCTAATGCTAGGTCTGCATATAAGTTGCAAGAAAAACAATTTCAATGGAACTTGTCTACCTCTGCGATCTCTTTCATTTCTTTTCATTGGTTTGTCTGAAGTAGCATGCTGCTGACGTGCGTGGGTATGAAGAGTCATATTGAAACGCCTATCTTATGTGAGAAAAAGAAGATAGGCCAATCTTTAAGATTCCATTTGGGCTGTTACAAGTCTCATTCTGAGTTCTTATATGGTCAATTCGAAGCATCTCAGTGAGGTATTCCGGCAAGTGTCTGTCTGGCCATCATTTGGTTGGTGAGTATATCCCACATGCACAAACATACGACTGATATACGGTTCGACAACAACCCAAAAAAATAAATAATATTGATATGCTTTAGACATCAATATGACGCATACTAGTATCAAATAAAGGAGAAAAACTTCATTATTAGAAGTTAGTGTATAATTTTGTGTTTATCTTTCTTATTATGTGGTTCGAAAGATAGGCATATAATCATATACAATACAACTGGTTGGCTGCACCAACAGTTTTCTCCAACACAAGAAGTTGATGGGTAATTTTTGCATTAGACGTTAACACGGTGATATCGTGTTACACTCTACTCATATTACAATTCTAAATTATAGTTGCACCATGTAACAGTATTTCAGTATCATATAATAATTTCTTGAATTTGAAAAATCTCAGTCAAGTATATGTAATTTGAGCAACTCATTATTAAGAGCATCTCCAACCTATGTGTTAAATCCTGTGTGGATGAATTTGACATAAAGCTGCCGGGCATGAAAATTGATGCTAGAAAAAGGTGATGGCAAATGTTTTTTTTTCAATGGTGGTCTCCATCTCAATAGCAACTTCTTTAATTTTCTTCCGTTTTTAAATTAACACGAGTTGTACCAACTTACACCAATTAGGTTGTATTACTTTCTTGAAATTTCTTCATTATAGTCTATTCACACAGAGACAGACTACTAGCTAGTATGCCCTGAATCATTTTCAAGAATATTTCTCAGCAATGTCTTGGAGGACGGAGAAGAGCTCCACTGGTCTAGAGAGCATGACCATGTGATCAGAACCATTAATCACTTTGACTTCATCTGGCGGATTGGTCTTGATCATAAAATTTTGCACATCCAACACTATTGCATGGTCTTGCTCGGCCACAATGTATACTCTAGGAACCGATCCATATTTCTCCTTGGTGAGATTTATTTGATCAAAATCAAAGACGGGAGAAAATCTTACCAACGAGTAACCTAGTGTTAAATCCTGTCCATGAATAAATCACGAAACAAAAAGTTTTTTTTTAAAAAAAAAATAAAATTGCAACCCAATTATATATATAAAAAACTCACCTCTGGTGGCGATAGCTGATAAAAGTTTGACGCCATAACCTTGGGCCCAAAGCGAAAGGAGGTTGCAGGATTTTTGGGTCCATTGTCATATCTATATTGAGTGTCCATATAGTCCAATCTTTTGTTAATCTGTACATTTTTGGAGCATATCGTTCGTTAATTACTCGCCAGGAGTCACAGAAAGAATTGAACAACAACGGATATGGTGCTGCGACTTGAGAGAGAGAAGAATATTACTCATACCATATTTATTGTACGTGTGTGCTTGTGAATTCATTACCTCTGCAAATATAGTTGAATAACTCAAACTAAGACCAGACATGAAAGCCGTGGCATATACCCCAGCAACAATTTTATCAGGGAACCTCTCCATGAAAATAGATATAACAGCCCCAGTGATGCTGTGAGCCACAAGAATGACCCTCTCCTTTGGTGGCAAAGACACCATGAGCTTCGTCAACGGTTCAACATATTGCGACATCGAATGAAGTTGTTCCACCTGAATTGGGTTGATCCCAGATGCTCCCAAGTCTAGGGCTGTGACATTATGGCCTGAATGTTTCAACAAAGTTGCCACCTTATACCAAGACCATGCTCCGTGACCAGCTCCATGAATCAACACAAAATGCTTCTTCCCACTCGGGTTGGGTGGGGATGGCGATGAAGAACAAACCCTAGCCAAGAAAAAAACCAATAAAAGAAAAAATAGAAAAGACTTCTTCTCTTTGTCTTTGATGTGCTCCATTTTCCTTATCATTAACATCTTCTCCTTCCTTTGGTTTGCATATAAATTATTCTTATTCGCTAATTGGTTTCCTCATACAATTTGGCATTTGAAAACGACTAGAGAGCTGTGTCTGCAACAATAGGGTTCAGAAGATCTTTCCTTCCAAGTTGCTAGCAAAGTCCTAATTTCTAACTACATTTTGGTCAAACAGTACCACTAGCCAGTGCCGTGAGAAATTGGCATTCCAGCACCCTTTTTATTTTTTGGGACGACAAAATAAGCAAGGCGGCCGGCAAAACAGAGAACTAGGGTAAGAAAATACTCTATTTCTTCTTTATAGCCGAAATTTCTTGCCTTTATCTGAACTCCTTTCAAATACGGAGGGCGGCGGCTGCAAAATTCGTGACTTTAGTATAATAAAATTTACACTCAGTAGCTTCCAAAATACACAAAATTATTTAACTTTTTGAATACTAAAAGTCCTAATTGAATATCATCATTAGCTTCTTGTGGAAAGTCCTAATTGGATACCTCAACACTTTAGACTCTTTTAAAATCTACACTGATGAATACATCTAAATTTTGTATTAATGGGGTACTCTCAAGAGGTCATGGGTTCAAGTCTCCATGGTACCCCTGTGTGAGTTCCCCCTACCCCACCCCTCCCTCATCCTAACTTTGAAAAAAAAGAAAATAATACACCTAAATTTTGTAATTACATAAAAGTCTTTGAAAGTCTATATTCAATACACCCCCTAGCTAATATTTAATTTATTTTTAGTATAAGTGATTGTCACGCCCCGGACCCGGGGGTAGGCGGAAACCCCGCGCCCGGTGCGTGAGTAAAATAAAATATAAAAATAAAATAAAATAAAAAGAAAGCCGAAACATAAAATAAACATTTCTTATAAAAATAGATTCCAAAAATCTTACAACTTTACAAGAAATAAATAAAGCTCTAACACTCTCATCTAATTCATCCTCAACTGGTTTAGTCCTTGTCTTGTTCACTAATTTATCTGAAAAATTAAACAGAGTGAGGGATGAGCAACCACCGCTCAGTAGGGACATGAGACCTTACCACAGTAGATTGATATAACTAAATTAAGTGACATGCAATCACACAGCCAAATATCATATAATTAAGAATAATGCATGAATGAATGCTCTTCATCTAATCCCGTTAATTCATATAGCTGGACAAGCAGACCTGCACGTCTCATACCATGCTGTTGCATTCCTAAAAGGACACAAATTAATGTGCAAACAACCAATTAAAAATACCCGCAAGTGCACGAATCTAATGAAGTATAGATTATGTAAGTACGGGGTCGATCCCACGAAGAACTTGTCGGCTTCCTATAAGTTCTAATTTGAGTACGTAAAGAACACTAATTTAACACACCACAAATGCACAAATGCAAATTGGAAACTAAAAATGAGTAAATAAATGTAAAAGAAATGAAACAACACAAGAAACCAAAGAAAAACAGAAACATCACTTTCTATCACCCTTTTATCACCTGTGAACAGTGACGTGAACAGTGAAAATGAACAGTGCGACCGGTCATTTTTGGACAGATTCATGTGCGACCGGTCGCCT